ATTTTATCACAATTAAAGTATTATTTTTGTAATATTAACAAAATTTACAAAAACCTTTATTTAATTATTCAACTATTACAATATTTGCCTCTGATATTAAATCATTATTAAGTCCGTAAAATGTATTTAATTTTTAAAAACATTATTATTTGATTTTGTCACATTTTTGATTTAAAAGAGCAATCACAAATCTTACTGCATTCAAACATAAAGTCAACCTCAAGTAGTAAGTAACTACGTAAAGACAGAAAACTATGTCAGACAAAATAAACTTGATAAAAGTTTTCGACGACGTCAAATTTTTGCTAAAATTTTTAGAATGTTGGAATTCTTGTGATGAAAATACATTTTACAGAATATACATCAAATACCTCGTTATAATATCATGTTTTTTATTCTGTACTACAATTGACATCTATAGAATGAAATACGCTTTTATTGATTCAGATGAAGCCTATAAAACGTTACTACTTGCAGTTTATGCAACAGAGAAAGTTGTGAAAAGTTACTTATTTCGCAAAAATTTCCAAAAAGTTACTGAATTGTGGAATCAAATACAACAACAAGAATTTCAACCGAAAAACGAAGAACAAAAAACTCTTTTAAAAAATTACATTGCAATGGTAAAGTTTCTTTTTGTTGAAGTGTATATTTGTTGTGTATATGCAATTCTTATATCATCGTGGTTGAGGCATAAGGATTTATCTACGGATCACCGTTTGATTATTACAAGCTCTTTTTGTACCAATGTATTTATCTTCATACAGCAGTTACTGTTTATCTTTGTTCTTATGTAAATTGTACTTTGGACACATATTTCTTTTTGTTTTTGATGCCTATTATAGCACAACTTGCTAGCACTCTTAGAAATATTTATGACTTAAGACAAATTAAAAGCGACTCACAGAATTTCGCAGGGCAAAGATAAAGACGAAGTTATGAACGAAATATTAATCAAATGTATAAAACATTACTCTCTCATTAAAAAGTAAGAAAAACAACTTACCTACTGGTTATGTCAAAATGAATTCTATCATTTTAGATACACTAATCTAATTACCGATTGTTTCTGTAGAATTTTAACCTTTCAGTTTATACCATCGGTTGGAATGATTTGTGTTTGTGTGTATAAAGTATCCATTGTAAGATTTATTTAAATTTTTATTTCATTAACTATAAGCATATTTACGCAGCTAGTTCACTCAAGTTCCCTACTTTTTCAATTCATTTTTGTCGAAGAGAATTCTAAAATTCAAACTTTACTTTTGAATCACATTGGTATGGAAACATATTGATCGTCCCCTAACTCAAAAAAAAATGATCACGTTGATGATGATGTTTTCAGAACCAATAACCTTCTTAAGTTGGAATATTTTTGCAATAAATTATGAGACCTTCAAATCGGTGAGTTTATTAATTTCAAGTATTCATCACATTTGTTACCAGATTATACGAATGTCATCTAGCATTTGTGTTGCTCTTAAAAGTGGAAAGGATATTTGAATTTATACCACCTTAAAAACTCTGCCGTAAATATTAATTACAAGAAAATAGCGTTTCCTGAAATAAAGAAAATAAATTTCGGAACAGAATTTTGAAAACACTGGGCGTGAAATCAGCAAATTATTATTATATTAATCTATTTAATAAATAATAACTATTTATGTAAAAAGGTAATCTTGAATTAACATTCTTAGTTGTTAAAGCAAACATTGGATACAAATGGTTTTATTATTTCTAGTTTATGCAGGTACATTTAATGTATCTCACTAAGTTTTAGAATATTAATCAATATCGCACGTTTGCACTTTACTTATCAAGTATAGAGTATGTATTTTGCTATTTTTGCTTTCCCAAAAACAGAAACAATTTTTATAATTTCATTTTGTGCAGTGAAAGATGTAAATTAAATTACTGCATTTTGTTCACCGTTCACTCTCTGATAATAAACATTCAGTATTTTTCTTATATACATATTTTATATATTATACGAGTACTTTATACTTTATATACATTATACTTTAAGTTAGTTTTTTCGTAACTACTACGGACACAATAACTATTATACTACAATAAGAAAATTCATTTTACATTACTGCTTTCTTCCAATAAAAATCTTTGAACAGAAAAAGTAAGATGTCGTTGAAAAGTTTAGAACCACATTTTTTGAAGGATCATCTTATCCCAATTAAGTAAGTAAACCTTAACTTTTAACCTTAAAGCCCAATTTTTAGTAGTGGTATTTTTGTGTAACTTAATTTTAATTTTAATAAAAAATAAATCATATTTAATTCAATTTTAAAAATTCTCATGGCAAACACAGAGAACAGTGTTTTTATAGAATATTGCTGTAATATTTTACTATTTATACAATTATGTCTACACGACATCAATTCGTCGCCAATAAATTGACATTGCAATTAAAGGACATTATTAAATGTTAAACTTATAATCACGTAATAACTACAGGTTATTAGAAAAACACTGTAGGGAAGGGAGGTGATTTGTAATAGGAATTGAATACATTATACAGTTCACGCAATTTTCCAGGGCTTGAGTTTGCTAGTACTTTGAACGAGTTGTACTGACTGGATTGGTCAAAAAAAAGTCACGTGATCGTGTTTATAAAATGAAGTATTGCGTAATAAAACAGAGGCGCCAAAAGGAAGGTACAATTTCATAAAAAGATACTTTATAAAATGTGATAAACCATTTGTGAAAATCAAGATCTCTAAAAATATGAAAATCTGACACTAACCATATCCACAACACGAGTGCCAGAATGGTTGCTTTACCCCACTGGATTAACGCGCTCCCCACCAAATAAGATAATTTATTATTAATTAATAAATTCAATTTCTCACACACGTGTAAGTGTTTAATTTGTTTGTTCTAAGAAAATCTATATTCTATAATGACAGATGATTATAATATAAGAAAGTTCTCTATCTCATATTTCAGTTTGTGCAATATGATTGTGGTGGAAAGAATTAACTTATTTGAACCTTTCGAGAATGTCATCAGTCTACTCAAAATTTTGGGCTGTTGGTATTTTCCAAACGAAAGGGTAGCTTATAAAATTTACAAAATCTTTGTCACAACTACGTGTTTCATATATACTTTAACAAGCTGTATTTCTGGATTTCAAAATACGTCCATTGAAACTTGGGAAATCGCAGTTGGTACAGCGGAAGGAGTTTTGAAAAGTTTGATATTCCGCAGAAAATTCCAAAAAATTACCGAATCATGGCAACAAATACAACAGCAAGAATTTCAACCAAGAAATGAAAAACAAAGAAATCTTTTAAAAAGATACATTGACATAACAAAATTTCTCTTCAAATTATATTTTTCTGTAGTGTATATTGGTTGTGTAAGCGGAATAATTATATCGTCTTATTTGAGACACAAAGATTTACCCACGGATCACTGGATTCCATTTGATTATCACAAACCTTTTTTGTACCAATATATTTATACTCATATAGCAGTTGGTCTATATCTTAGTTCTTTTTTAAATTGTGCTTTCGACTCATGTTTTTTCTTATCTTTGCTGCATATTACAGCTCAGTGTGAGATACTGATTGACACTCTTAAAAATATCCACGACTTACACGAACTAAATGCAACTAACAAAGTTTCAGAACAGAAAAGCAAGAATAAAGTAATGAATGAAATTCTAATTGAATGTATAAACCATTACCTTCTTATTAGAAAGTATGAAAATCTAACAAATTACTCTTTTCTAAATATATGTTTTCTAGATACACTAATTTGATTACAGATGGTTTCAAAGAAATTATAACTTTACAGTTTGTGCCGACCGTTGCAATGATTTGTATCTCAATGTACAAAGTATCTCAAGTAAGGACTACAACTTTTTGTTTTCAATACATTAATGACACATTATTATAGCTGCAACCATCAGACACACAATTTTGGTTTTTTATATTTACTGAACTCGGTGCCACTGTCCAAATTTTCTTATATTGTTTTCTTGGTAATCTGGTTACTACCACAGTAAGTGTCTATATTACAACTGTTAGATATTAAAAGTTTTATTTTAGAGTGAAAAATTATTTTATGCAACGTTTGAGTCACAATGGTACGAATCATCTGAAAACTTTAAGAAAAATTTAATTATGGTCATGATCACAGTTGAAGATCCAATTATTTTTTATGGTTGGAATATTTTTGCAATCAACTATGAGACATTTAAATCAGTAAGTTATTTATTTGTGATTTAATTAATTTTTGCTTAATCATTATTAACTACGTTTGTTTCTAGATTATGCGAACTTCATGGAGCATTTGTGTTGCTTTTAAAAGTATACAAGATTAATATTTTCTTTAGGTTAAATAACGTATACGTAGCGAGTCTACATAAAAACGTAGTCAGAAGTAGTTTGTAAATTTTATGGACATAAGTCCTAAATAATAGCGACAATACCTGTAAAATTTACCAGTACTATCTTGCGTTAAATATTGCTGCAATTTTTTTTCTAGAATGAATGGAAAGTCAGCTTTGACAACATTCTTATTAGCATCATTATTCACAATGTTTTACCAACACTCTGTAGTAGTCATTTAATTTTAACAATCTATGCACGACATTCGTTCGTGAAATTTTACAGCCCCCATGACTACATTTTTATTTAGACTCACGATATATTTTCTGTTTTACTTATTCTTTATTTAGTTTCTTAAATTTTAATGCTGTTATTAAAATTGTAAATTTTGGAACAACCACTAGAATAATAAATATCGAGAGATCAAAATAATTTATAATCGAGTCATCTTTGGATCCGAAAACGTATACTCGTTTTCATATTAATGTGCATCTAAGTAGTCGTTGAAAGGGGAATCATTTTAAGGTGGCAACCATGCAAAAATTCAAACAATCCTAATCTCAATCATCCCTAAAAATTATTTTTTCAAGTAAATGTGTACCTCAGGTAGCAAAAAGTAATTAAAATTAACAATGTAATTAACATAGGGTATCAAAAAAGATTTTTGTCATTATTAACGTGATTAATTTTGTTCTGAATGACATTAATGACACTTTTTGTATGAATCGGTCTTTAAATTAAAGATGCATTTAGACTTCTACTTGATATGATTACAAATTATTTTGATCTCTCAATATAAAATAGGATTTATAATAAACTGCACTTCTAATAACTATTTTTTCACCACTTGCTGTATTTTTAATAATCATTAACATAACACAATAAATGTTGCATAACACTGAACATTTTGCTGAGTTACTCGTTTATCCTTTTAACTTTACCAACTTTAATGGAAACAATTGTGTTACATAAGTACTTTAATTTTTCTAAAAATTAAAAATATGTTGTGGACTCACCCTTTAATCCAGATCCTTAAAGCACGTTTGTTTCCTCAATTCCTTAAAAAACTATTCTCATATTTTTTTTTACCTAAATTATTTTTTTGTAATTTCTCATAATGCATTATTGTCTATTGTATTTTGTTGTCATAGTCCAATATTAACCAAAGTCTGCCTATGTTCTAATTCAGCTCAGTTTCTTAGAAATTTACACAAAATTACAAATGAAAAACGTTTCCCGTATTTTTGGTTGCCCCACCTTATTTATTATCACACCGGACAAAGTCAAATAAAAACACTATAAATGGTCCGTAAATAAACGCTTTAAATATTTTAAGATGGTATACAGTCCAAGCTACAGTCTGGATTTTTATGAAACTTTGACAATGACAATTGATTATAAAAAAATTGTTATTTATTCAATCCTTTATGTTAAAATTGAAATTTATGTACTCTTTTCTTCATGTTAAAATGAAATTTTATCGTCTAGATGAAAAAAAATACATTCATTGTTGTATATCTGCGGCTGTTAGTTGCTAACGTTGCTTTGACATTAGATTTCATTGCGGAATTTTACTTTGACATTTATAAAAACCGACCAAATTGACTACACAATTAGTGAGGATTGAATAAAATTTTATATTGTACACGACGATAAAATTTTCATTATCTTTTCGAGCATATAAATTGCTCTCAAAGATAAAATTCAATTTTATCGTCTTGTATAATAAATAACTAATTTTTCACTAGACTATAAAAGATTACTTTATCTACTGAAATTAGTTGATAAAAGCATTCTTTAACATTGAGTACAAAATAAATATTAGAATTTCGTAAGTTCAGGTTTTAAAACGTTTTTTGGAGTTTTATTATGTATGATAAATACAGTAATTATTTTACTTTTTGTAAACATAATTTTTTCCTATCTCGCCACATTTCAATGTCCATTCATCTCTTACGTCCCTAACTAAATTTGACGTAAAACGTCAGAATAAATATAAAAATATATTGATGACAAAGCAGGGCTAGAGGCAATATAAACAAAGTTATCTGAGCTTGAGTTGGAAAAAATTTGTCAATAATGTTTTAATCAACCAGACTGTTGATAAGATTTTTATCATTACCATTAATAAAGGACTGAATAAATTATCTGTGGAATAACACTATACATATAATTAGCACAAGCGCGCAAAAATCAATTATACTTGTGTTGAAATCTTCTTAAAGATTAAATTTAGTTTATTTATATGAAATGTTTGCAGACCATTTGCTACTCGACTATATATATTTTTAAGAAACTAAGTGATGCGATAATTGTTGTGTGGTGTGTATAATGAAACAACAAAAGAGTAGACAAGATACTATTTCATCTACATACGTTAATCACTAACAAAGAAGGTTGACACATATTAGTGTCATTTATTTGAGAGATGTACAAACTAAATACAGAAGACTTCAGTTTTTAAATCTAAACCTTGTTTGTAGATTGTCAAAAAAAAATTGTTCCAAATATCACTATTTCGTATTTCAAACACTTGTTCTGAATAAGTTGGAAGTCGGAACCAAAGACTAATAAAGCATATTGATTGACTATATGATTCTCATCGTCTTTTCTGAGAATGTGATAATCTAACATTGATTGCTATTTGAAAAACAACAATTTTCAACCAATTAAATCACGGCTTATTTTTGTCTCTTTTTCTCAGCATTGTACACTGGAACAACTTTAGATTGACAGAAGTGTGTGATAAGATAAAAAATACATATAAATACAAGAGAACATCATTATTTGATAATTGTGTAGAAGTGTGTACGGCAAAATGTTATTACAAGTGTTTGGTTTTGGGATATTGCTTGCAAGTAGTGGAGCTTTACCCGCCCCAGTCCACGATGTTCTTGGGCACAAAATACGAGAATATGGCAGCGAATATCGCCTTCCAACAAACGTGGAACCCACACATTATACTTTAAATTTGAAACTTGAAGAAGACTTTACCACAAACAAAAACTTCTCTGGTAGTGTTGAGATCACAATAATAATCACGAGTAGTGTCAATATAAAATCTATTGATCTTCACGCAAAATATTTAGAAATTGACACAAATTCAATAGAACTATATGAAAATAGTAGCCAAAAGAAGAATATTTTCGATAGCATAGAAGGACCTGATGAAGAAACAGACATTGTGACAATTAAGAGCAGCGCTGACTTAGTCAGTGGGACGACATATATTTTGAAAATTGGATATACTGGAAAATTGAGCGATACTGAAATGACTGGATTTTACCTTAGTTCTTATAAAATATCTGGAAAAGATAAATATTTAGCTACAACCCAATTTGAAAACACAGGAGCTCGGAGAGCTTTCCCCTGCTTTGATGAACCTGCTTTGAAAGCTGAATTTGAAATAAGTATTACGTACCCTGACGGATACAGAGCAATATCAAATACACCTATTCAAACTAAGTAAAAAAAAATCGTGCTTCAAACATCTTTAATGTAACTAATAAATTTTTTAGAACATCCGGAACTGCCAAGTTTACAAAAACTCCATTTATGTCAACTTATTTAGTTGCTTTCGTTATAATATCATCAGATTTTGATTGCACAGAGATACAAAATATTGATAATTTTACGACTCAAGTGTGTTCAAGACCTGGAACCAAAGGCACAGCAACTCTCGCTGCAACAGTACCAAACGAAGTTGTTCCAGTTATGAAGGACTATACGAAAGTTAATGCCATTAAAACGGGTCAACTGATACAATTTGCGGTTCCAGATATGGATCCAGGAGCGATGGAAAATTGGGGATTGTTGATTTACAGGTAACCGTACTTACATTTTCCATGTTATAACTACTTTTAAGAATTTCATTTTACTTACATTTCAAAAAATCTTAGAATATATGATATAACAATAATGGTGTCATGTTGAAAATAACAAGTTTAGAATGATTTGATGTTTGATCACTAGTTCCACAGAAGAGAATGAAAATTTAATTAAAACTGTTAAAATTAGATTCAATAACAAACTGTTTAAGATTTAAGTCGTCTGTAAACGAGTCATTTAATAACATCACCATGATTTCAAAAAGATTAATAATTGGTTTACAAAAGCATCATTGAATTAATGCAATCAAACATCAGATAAACTGATCATGTGACCAAATTAAACCAACCAGATGCTCAGATTCAGATTCAAGTTAATCGCATATTAACTGTTAGGAATAAATTAATTTTTAATTCACCTTCTATAAACCGATCGTAATTGTTGTATTTTTGATTGTTTTTTTTTACTAGGGAGGCGTATTTACTTTCTGACGATAAAGAGTCATCTGTTTACGAAAAACAACACACAGTCACGGTGGCAGCTCATGAAATATCTCATCAATGGTTCGGAGATTTAATCACTTTAGATTGGTGGAGTGACACTTTCCTGAACGAAGGTTTTGCTACATATTTCGAATATTATGCTCCTGACATTGTAAGTTGTTATCGAAATAGTTATTTCTGTTACAAGTACCTAAAATACAGTTTTTGCGGACGAATGGTTGCTGTTTCCGGACGAGGTGAAACCGAATCTGGAATAGCAAATGAGTCCGCAAAAACATTTTAAGTACGTATTACAAACAACATTTTTTTGTTAAAGCTCCCAAAACACAAATTCACACTTTTTATTTATAAAAAATTATCACCATAATAACTAATTCGATTTTTTCGTCCGGAAAAATGGTTTTTGGGGACTGAAAATAACCATTTTACGTATTATTTTATTGAATCCGAAAAAGACTCATTTTACGGACTCACATGAGTCCCTAAATATCTATTTATGTATCAAGTACGCAAAATAGGGTTTTAGGGGACGAATCGTAAACACGAATTCACACCTCTTATTAATAAAAAAAATTTCGCCACCATAGTAACCAATTTAATTTTTTAATCCGCAAAAATTGTTTTTGGGTACTGAGTACCTAAAATAACTGTTTTGCGTGCTATCAAATGAGTCCCTAAAACAGCTGTTTTCGGGAGCGTAAACAAAAAAAATATTTTGATAGTTTTTTTTTCTAGAATCATCCTGATTGGGAATTGCCCAAACAATTCGTAATTGAGCAACTTCAAACAGCCCTTGTAACAGATTCTAAAGATACTTCCTTACCGCTATCGTGGGATTCCGATGATGTCATCGATAACAGATTTGATGACATTTCGTACAATAAAGGTATTATTAAAATAAAAAGACTATTCTGTAACGTGAACAATAATTTTAGGTGGGAGTATTTTAAGAATGGTTCATCATTTCCTAAAATTAGAAAATTTCAAAAGTGGCCTTAGCACTTACATTTCGAACGCAGGGTAATACATGTGATCGTTTAAGGGTAAATTTTATGGAATAAAATTTTAGTCGAACTGGTACTCCAGACATTCTTTGGAAATCCCTCAATCCTCGTTCAGATAACACTTCTCAAAAATTATTACCAGAAGGTATGACTATAATAATGAACAGTTGGACCAAAAAAACAGGATATCCGCTTCTCACAGTTAGTAAAACTTCAGACAATAGTGTTACAATTAGTCAGGTACGTGTGAATTTCTGTGATTTTATTTTTTTAATTTTTAACAATAGGAAGCATTTGTTTTATCTGATAAAACTGTTGATACTAAATGGTACGTTCCCATCACTTACACTCTGTCAAACTCAATAAATGATTTCATTAACACGGAAACAAAAGAATGGCTCACTCCTGAAGAGCCTCTAACTTTGAAATCGGTTCTTAATAACAGTTCTTGGATTATTCTCAACAATCAACAAGTTGGTAAGTATTACTGGACACCATTAACACCAATCAAAATTGAAAATTAGGTTATTACCGCGTTGATTACGACGACGATTTATGGAAGGAAATCACTGATACTCTTGAATCAAATATAACCAATATTGACGAAATTAGTCGAGCTCAAATCGTCGATGATCTTCTAAACATGGCACGAGCGGGCAAAAAAGACTACGGCAAAGTGTTGACCCAAATCAAATTTCTTCAAAACGATATTTCCTACTACAGCTGGTACGCAGCTTTGGCTAATTTCGACTACCTTTTGCCCAAGGTTGACGATGATCTATCAAACTCGCTAAACGTACGACGCTTGTAATCTCAAGTAGTACATTGGTACAATTTTGATTTCTAGGAATATTTGTCTACTTTGATCAAGAAATTTGTTGATTCTGTTCCGATTGATAAGTTGAACGCTACCGAACATATCTACACGCTTAAGCAAGTTTTGGCCCTGAAATGGGCTTGCAGATTGAATATATCCGACTGTGTGAGCAAGACCCAAAAACTCTTTGAAGATTTCAAAAAGGATAGTACAAACAAAAAGTACGATATGATTTTTGCAAAAAAAATATGTTCCAACAATTTTATTTTAGACCGGATCCAAATCTGAGAAGTGTTGTGTATTGCACGGCACTCAAACATTCGAACAATGCGTCTGAAGATTTTGAATTTCTTAAAAATGAGTTCAATAGTGCTGAGTTGGCAAGTGAGAAAGTGACAATATTGAAAAGCTTGGGTTGTGTGAATGATGCCAGCATCCGAAAGAAGTAAAACCGCTTAAAAATTTGAGTTTTATGAAATTATTTTTTTATTTTAGTTATTTGATGCGTGCCCTAACGGATGAGATCAGACGACAAGATGCGAAATACGCTTTCTCTTCGGTTTATTCAACTGGCAACGAGGGTGTTGATGACATTTTAGACTTTATTACCGAGAAACATGCAGATTTTAATCAACGGTAAAGTGGTTTCTTTATTTTTATTCTTTCACTCATTATTTCTTTTAGTTTTGGTTCTACTTCAACCCTGAGTTCTTTAATTAGTGGACTTGCCGACTTTATCAATACTGATGATCAAATAAAAAAATTATCCGCATTTAAAGACACGGAAAACTTAGAACCTGATTACAAAACTGCAGCAGAGGCTGTCATCACGATTGGCAACAATAATATCAAAGAGAATGAAAAGTTAAAAAAGCAATTGAAGAAATATTTCAGTGATGATGATGATGATAATAGTGCGAGTGTTGCTCAGGTTGCAAATATTGCTTTGGTACTAATGGGGTATCTCTTATTTAATTTCTTCTAAATAATAAATTACATTTAACATAGATCACGTTTTTATTTATGCGTAATAATGTTAGTACCTACATGCGGTAGTACTTGTATTTTTAACTAAAATAAGGAACTAAGTTTTTTTTATTAAAAAGTTTTGGTTTTTGACATACCTATTTGTAAGTACGTTATAACAAAGTGTAAGAAAAATAAAAAACGAAAATATGTAAATCAGCCCTGTACCTAGGTTTTGATGTAACCTTAAAATTTCTCACTACAAAGATATCCAAATAGTAAGTTTGCAAGTACTAAGTAAAAAATAATTTTAAACAAATTGTGTAGCTACAAAAATGAAACCATCGAGTCTATTGTGCAAACTTTGACAAATCAGATAACGAAATGAGCGCAAATTGAGCAGTTATATTATTTTGCTAAGAATAAAAATCTAACAATTAGCACTGAAACAGCAGAAGTTAATTTGAAGTTTTCAAATAAAATTGAAGCCGACGTGGAGCAATATTTTTCAGGTGGTAGTAAATCGAATAAAATAATTTAATATAATATAATATAATATAATATAATATAATATAATATAATATA